GTCGGGGAAAATGGCGATTGGGCCTTTTTTGCGCAAAAGCGTGTCTAGATTGGCCACGGACGCTTTTCCGCAAAAAATGCTTTTGCTGAAAAGCATCCGTACCAATCTAGATGCTCTTTTCCGCAAATGCTTTTAATGGAAAACTTTTCCGTTAAAAGCATTTGCGGAAAATCATGCCAGTCTAGACGTAGCCAAGGGGTCTGAGGCCGCGGCGCCCCCCCCTTTTTAGCCACATCACGTCTGTGTTGTGCTGTAGCCTGGAGAAGCAATAAACCCTCTCTAGTCTCTGGCTGGCGGAGTCTGTTCTTGCTGCTACAGGGCTGCAGGATTTGGGGGAACCCCGACTCGGCATCACAAGGCCTCCCTGTGTGCTTCAAGCAATAAGGCTGGCTGGCTGGTAATATCATTTGCCAGAGCATGGGCCAAGGTTCCCTCTAATCTTTTCCATCCATGTGGGGAATAAATTGTATGTGAACAAGGCGTGTGTGAATGTGCACCACCTGGAGAAACAAAACGCCTGGCTGTGGGTGCTGTGCCAATCAGCCGGGCGGCATTGGAATCTCTCCTGAATGGGTGCACAAGCGCCCAGCTTACAGAGAACACTGGAATGGACCCAGAGGCTTAGCTTAAGTCTCTTCTAATTTTGCACCAGAAACCTCCCTCCATCAAAGCCAGATGCATAAGGGGGGGTAACCTACCAGACTAGTACGAACCCAATGCTGACTTGTGAGAATCAGCCAGTCTTAAGAAATTCTTGGGGCAGGGTTGGTCAAAGAGAGAGAGGGCTGTGTGTGATTTACTGGCTTTTCACTGGCTGGAGATCAAGGTTCAAATCCAGCCTTACATTAACAATGAATGAATGAGTCCTCATCCCAGTTACTGGTGACCCAAACAACTACAGAGATCACAGTTCATGGGACTGGTCTGAAATCAGATCCGAAATTCAACAGAGAGAGGAGCAAAGGACTGTAGTTAGGAAGGAAAAATAAAATGGGGACCAACAGGCTAGGCAGGCGTACTGCTGGTACTTGTGATAGGGGTCCACCACGTGGAGTACGAGTCAGCGATGTGATATAGTGGCAAAAAAGGCTAATGTCCCCATAGGGTGTAGGTGTAGTAACAGGCATGTTTAGAGGTGACTGGTCAGGGAGAAACCCAGGGGCCACTGGTTATGTGATTCTCCCCCCAACCTGGGGAATGGCTGGAACAGCCCCACTCTGTCCAGGTCCTGCCTCTCCCCACACTTACTCTGTCCCCATCTTGCCTTTTCCCCAACTAAGGCAGCCCAGGGGGGCCTACTGCCCATCTATCTTAAAGAACTGGAAGGGACCTTGAGAGGTCATCAAGTCCAGTCCAGTCCCCCACCCTCATAGCAGGGCCAAGTACCATCCCTGACAGATTTGCCCTAGGCCCCTAAATGGCCCCCTTAGGGATTGAATGCACAGCCCTGGGTTTAGGAGGCTAATGCTCAAACCACTGAGCTATCCCGCCCCTCTGTGCTCAGCCCACCTTTGCTTCCCCTGTCACCACGTTGCTCCACTTCATGCCAGGAGCATCCTGCACTCTCCCCCAGAGCAGTGCGGCCAGGAGCGCAAAGCAGCGGGGCTGCCTTGCTCCATTTCCCCTGCTGCTGCTGGTGAGTGCAGGGGAGCGGGACCTCTCCTGTGGGTGCCAGGCCTTCACCCCCCCGCCCCGTTAACCCCTCATTGGCTGCTGGCCAGTGCCTCCCACCCATGGCATATGGTATAGGGGGCATGCAGCCCATTCCCCCACTCCTTACCCCTGGGTGTACTCCATTTGTAGCTATAGGGAGGTAATTGTCCCTCTCTACTCAGCCCTGGTGAGGCCAGTTCTGGGCACAGAGCCGTGGACAACCTGGAGAGAGCAACACAAATACTAAAAGGGTTCAGAAAGCTGATTTGTGAAGACAGATTTGAAAAATGGGTATTTTTAAAATCTCGTCCCAGCCTTCGATTATATTAGGAGCTGTTATAAAGGGGACAGTCCCTGATTTTTTTCTCTCCCCTGCTATGCCACTTCTTGGCTGTGACTTCTGCCTATTAATCTCAAAAGATTTCAGCCTCCCCACGCGCTCCCCCACCCGATTTCAACTGTCAGCAAACAGGGCAGACAAAACACAACTCCAACACCATTAGCATGAGAAGAGAGGCACCTAATGATGCCTATTTAGCTTTGTTCTTTGAACAATTGGGGGGAAGGGAAACCATATAGCCTCCAGACCAGAATCACATTCCCCTACCGCTATAGAGCTCTGAAAAGCTGAACCCCTGCATTTGCAAGACTCTTTCTGCTAAGCGTAAGCCCTCTCATTTGGAACAATGTAGCACAGTCCTACTTCCCTGTATTCCTACACAATTACAAACCTTGGTAACCATAGACATACCCAGGGTTTCTCTCCCATTCCAGCTAGCTGTAATGGAAGCATTCACTCAGATCCTGCTTACACCAGTCAGTATTGTTTTCTTAATGTACGTGTGGGGAAGGACTCCGCTTAATCTGCTGCAAGGGAGATTCAGGTTCGATATTAGGGAGATGCTTGTGTTGGGATAGTTAAGCTTTGGAACTGAGCTCTAAGGGGGACTGTGGACTTTCCCCTCATTGGAGGTTGTTACAAACAGGTCAGGCTAACGCTGGTCTAGGTGTACTAGGCCAACCACTGGAGAGAGGCTGGACTAGAGGACCTCTGCAGGGCCCTGTCAGCCAGAGGTGCAGCGAGGGTGTTATGCGCCCGGGGCAAAGGCAAAATTTGCGCCCACCCCCACTGCTGCTGCGTGGCAGGGCCCCAAACATGGTGCAAGGCTGAGCCTGACCCTGACCCTGGGAGGAGGGGGGAACTCGTACCATGTCTTCCCCCACCCCCTCCAGTTTGGGGCCAGGCTTCTGCACGCACTAACCCATTAGC